ATTTTAGCATTTTCTTAAAATGGCCGTAACTCAATAAAATTAAGTCGGAATCAGCTCAAACTTTCTACACAGCATAATGACGTTAATAATTATGTTCAGTACATGTATATTACTGTGGTATAGTTCATTGGCTCAATTTTTCCATCAAATACTTATTACCTATCTTATAATTTTGCTAGGTAACAACTAACAGCATAGTGATAGATGAGTTAAAGAGAATAGTGGAGGATTCAGATGTAAGTGTATTTTAATTGTTTATTATTTTTATTGTTATTGTTCTTATCATTATTATTTTTTATTGTTAATTATTATTATTATTTTCATTGTTAAAAAATAGATATTGTCTGAAGATGACAAGTTATGGCCATCACCCGACAGAGTAGGTCGTCAGGTATGTAACTCAACTTAACCTCATTTTGTGTGTCGGCCTATACTACATGTAATTTGAGCTAATTTAGCGAGAGGCTTTAAAATGCTATCATGTGATGCATAAATTAAATAAAAATCAACGAAAAATGCCTACATTAATATAGCCAAACCCTAATACATTTAAAAGTGCTGTGCCAGTAAAGAAAGCAATTTTATTATTCATTACTGCATTCATAGGAGTTAGAAATAGTTTGTGGCGACCAACACATCTCGTTCACAACAACTAAGATTGGCTCCCTACTCGACTGTAAAAACAGCAGGTAAAGATCTGTTTCTTTCTCCTCCTCTTTGCAGAATTGAGAAACAAGTTGTCTAATTCTTTCTCCTCCTCTCTTTCTTTGATTCACTTTTATCTGTAGAGATGAAGATGGTTTGAGGACCTTCTACTACTTAGTTCAAGACTTAAAGTGTCTTGTCTTCAGTTTAATAAGCCTCCACTTCAAGATTAAACCAATTTAAAAGGAACACAGTGTAGACACCCTGTACTTCTACATGATATTTTGTCATATTTGTCGATTATAAAAGTGATGAGGAATGAATTTTGTCTAACCATTTGTGAGATAGATACATACAGTAATGTATACATTTAGATATGTATACATTGTTTGAATGTTCAAATAAATTTGGTTAGAAGAGAGGCAATGATTCTATTCAGGCTTAGGTGGAAAGGTCAAATAAACTGGTCAGGAGAGAGAATATTCTGTCAAAAACTATTATTCGATCTTTATTGTAATTGGGGCGAGCATGAGCGAGACCCACACTAATCTGTCTAGGTCTATTTGCGTTACGTCTTGTTTGTGAACGGAAAAATACGAAAATTAAATTAGTATACTACTATTAATAAATTTAGACCACGTGGGCAAAATTAATTTAGAGGGTGTGGTCAAAAAGAACAAGATGGCGGAAATTTTAACGTGACAAACTCAGATTAAGTTTCTAACAGCTAGATAAGAGAGAGGGGCTGTCTAAAACATCTGAAAGGCTGAAGAACTTAAAAACAATTTGATCTAAGACTCCTTTAGATTAGTTGTCTCATTGAAAGAATTAAAATTGTGAGAGAAGCTTGATTAGAAGTTTAGCTTGGCACTGGCATTTCTCAGAGTGGCAGGACAGTTCATTCTTGTCTCTTTTACAGGGTCATTTTGGTCAGTTGTGTTAAATGGTGTGTTTGCTCTGTTCAGACCCTGCCGGGCCATGATGATGGGGTCTGAAATTCTGAATATGCATGCACGCTAAGAGCTGGATTGACTGATTTTATTTAGTTCAATCTTATTTCAAATGGTAATAGATGGAAGCTAGATTAGAAGTTTAACTTGGTACATTTTCTCAGTGTGGCAGGACTTGTTCTTGTCACTTTGATTGGGTTATTTTGGTTGTGTTAACTGGTGTGTTTGCTCTGTTCAGACCCCGGCCATGAGGCCGGGTTCTGAATATGCATGCAGGATAAGAGCTGGATTGATTTTATTTAGTTCAATCATAATTTATTTCAGTTGTTAATGGGGCGTATTCATTACTCTGATTTGAATAATTAGAAATTACGGTCAATGGGGTAGAAGCGCATTATTATGTGCAATGTCAATGGCGATGCGTCCAAGATAGAGA